ATCATAGGCGGCCCACCACCACCGCCACCACCTTGTGATGGTCCGCCTCCGTAGTTATTGTAGTTGTGCACTTTGGGTACAGCGCCGCCGCCAGAACGGCCATCGCGTGAATCATTTGACTGTAAAAAAAAGGGTTACACACGAGTTAGAAATTCGTTAAGATTCGAACTAGTCAATCTATTACATTCTGCATTTTCATCATTTTGCCATTGGGACGTGGCCGATTTTGCTGATGTTGTTGTTGCTGCTGCTGCTGCTGTTGCTGTTCCACCGACTGCGTCCAGCTGACATTCATGTAGCCATCGTCCATGCCCTCGCCACTGTCATTTTGACTGCGATTGAAAATGCGACTGCGCGCGCGTTCATAGTCCTCTTCGCGCTCTTCAAAACTCTTTGCCTTGCGATCAAGCATGCTGCCACGATCCGGACACAGGTAACTACTTTGACGTGCCTCATCGAAGCTGTGCGTATCGCGCTTCAATATTGATTTGCGTGAATCCTCGCGATGATCGCGCACCAACGATTTGAAGCGAATCTGGAGAGAAAATGTGATGACGTTAAGCGATTCTAAGCTGAATTAGATAAGCGGAAATTTCGTTCATTACTCACCTCGGGTATGCGTGTGTTTTTTGTGGCTGCCACAATAACGCATTGCTGTGTCTCGGTATCGACATTGTGCTCCATGCCAAAGAAGGCCGCTGTACGATGTATCAACATGCGGTTGTACGAAGAAGCCGGTGGGAAGCGCAATTCACCGCGGCTAAAAAGGAAATAATGCCAATGAATATAAGGCCAAATATGCTGAGACAACCAAAAAAAAAAAAATCTAAATCGTAAGTTAGCTCACTCACCTCTTTTCCTGCACAAATTCAGTTAGATCCTTTTCCACTTTTAGCAGGAAATGTCTGTCCTTTGGATGCTTATTGAGCGTCTCCTTGAAGAAGCTGAACAGATCGGTACCGCCATGATCGGTGAATTGTTCGCTCGAGTTCTCTGAGTTGTTGAAAACTAAAAATTATGAATATATTAAATTGATTTAATACATTGCCATTACGCACCTCTTGAAATGAAGCCCGATGTGTTGTTACTATTCGAATTGCCACCATCCACGCTGCCCGACGATGAGCCACCAATATTCTTCAAACGCGGTTTGTTGCCCTTCGAATTGGAGTTGGTGCGATGTTTCTTGCCGCCGCCACCAACTTGGCGCTCGTAATGCTGCTGCTGTTGTTGCGGCTCATCGTCGTGCATATTCGACATGTTGCTATTCTGACTGTCGTTGCGTGGGCATCGGTTCTCCTTGTCGTAGGCGATCTGATGGTGTGATTGCTGCTGATTATCATTCGAATTTAGTTGATAGTTCATGCCGGAATTGTGCAGCGATGTGCTGGCACCGCCACCCATGCCACCACCACCACCACCACCACCACCACCACGCCCCGTCGACGACTCGGCAATGCTTAGCGCTTGATGCAAAGCATTGCTTGCACTGTATTGCTGCTGATGCTTGTTGCTGGTGTTGTTAGAAGTTATATTTTTTGTGGAATCATAGGTGCTATTGCCACCGCCGCCATTTGCGCCGGTGTTTGTCATTTTTCTGCTATTGTTGTTGTTGTTGTTGTATTCTATTTTGTTGCTGCCCTCAGCAACGCCATTACTATTATTGCTGCTGCTACTACTGCTGTTGTTGTTGTTATTATTGCGCTGATTGCCGCTACCGCTGCCCCCACCCGCACCTCCTCCTCCACCTCCTCCTGCGCCACCACCACCCTTTGTCGATTTCGGCGGTGTTAGTTTGGGGAACTCGGTTTCGTTGCATAGTGCCACATTCGGTTGTTGATGTTGTTGCTGCTGCTGTTGTTGGTTGTGTTGACTAGTTACAATCACTGCAGGCGCTTCGATTATCGGTGAATTGCCACGGGCTGCGTTTGATTGTGCATGCAATTTGTTGTTGTTGTTGTTATTATTATTGTTGTTGCTATTGCTATTGTGTATATTCTCATTGCCATCCATGTTGTGCTGCTGCTGCTGCTGCTGCTGCGTCTGATGGTGATGCTGTTGTTGATAATTGTTGGCCGATTGGCCATTCGGTGACACCTGTCCGTGCTCGGCACGTGGTGTAGGAGTACGCGGTGGCGAAGTGGCCTCACGCATGGCGTGACTACGCGTCAAATGCTTACCCTTCATGTTGCCCTGGAAGCAAAAAAAAAGTAAAAATAATTTGAATATAGATGCGCTCTATCAAACTACCGATTTAGAAGAGCGCAAGATTCGCGAGCAGTTTAAGGCATAAAAACGATTTAATTAAGCCTTTGACATTGTCAAATCTATTCCAATTACAATGCAGAGCTCTCCAGAACCTGTAAAGTTAGTACTACTAAAAAAACACAAAGCCAGAACAATTTCAAGAGATCTGATGATGCGGAGCTAAAAATTATACTGGTGGAAATCAATTATGGACAATTTGGATACAACAGAGTGCAAGTCAGGATACTTCAATGTTTGCCTTATGGAAGCAACAGCCTGATTAAGGTTGCCACCTGTTCGAAACTAGTTAGAAATTAAACAAAACATCATGATATGGGTATCAAATGGAAACTATTTCAAAAATCCCCAATTCAGAAATATTTTTGAATAGGGTTGCCACCTATTTTGAATGGTGTATTTCTTTAATTTTTTGTTTCGAAAATAAAGATAAAATATTACTATTCATAGGTACTAAAAGAAGGCTCTTAAACAATGCTTTGCCTATATACTAACCTCTCTATTCTAACAGTCACAAAATTTAGCTCATCACTGTTGTGATTTCTAGTGCGCCGCAAAAAGTGCCACAAAACTCCCATTTTAAGTGCTTGAAAAATACAAAAAAAAAAAATAAAAATTTGTGTGTAATCTGCTGCAGTGGCAAATTTTGAGACGCAGTAGAAATCACAGCAGTGATGAGCTAAGGTTTGTCACTTTGTTTTAATACGGCTGTAATACCATTTTCCAACGGCATCCTGAATTACTTTGTTCGCTTCTCCAATTGAGAGCGCGAATTACCTCATTCTCACGGGCGCATTCTTAATTCGATTTGACAGTTCTTTGTCTCGGTGTTTTGTTTTTGTTTTTCCTCGCCGCAAAATTGATGCAAAATGTAGGTTCTTCCTAAAAATTTATAAGTCTCCGTATTAAATTAAGGAAATACAAATTGATAAACTTTACTTTTCATACTCAGAAAAAATGCAAGTTTTGATTTGTGAGCTAGTTTCGATAAATTTCCGATAAAAATCGCATGGTAATTGGATCTGTATTACCAACAAATGAGGTAATTCGCTCTCAAAATTTTGTATGGCGAATTTCGTAATTCGAATGGTAAGTGGAGTGCGAATTACGAATGAGGGAGCGAACTACGTAATTGGGATGCCGTGTGAAAGCCGTATAAGTGTCACCCCTTAGGATTTTAGTGTAAGGTTGCCACTAATTTTTAGTTCTGCAAAATTTAACTAAAGCACCGCAATAAGGATATCAAATGAAAACTATTTTTGAGAACTTTGATCCAAAAATACCTGCGATGAGGGTCGCCAGGTTTTTCTTTTTGTATTTTTTTAGATAATGAGCTGTATTATCATAAAAAATAATGAACATTAAACAGACATATGAAAAATAGCGAGAACTTGTCAAAATATCGTTTCCCTATTATTTTCATATGATTGTACCTACAGTTACTCCCAAAATTGAGCGTACGGTTCTTTTTTGTTAATATTCGCAATGTTTTACATCCTAAAATCTTTTTGTTAATTTGTTGATATGGCTTATATTTTACTAAACCCCATTTAAATCCAAGAATGAAACAGTGTACGAAAATTAACAAAAATCTGCAAAGTTTCAGCAAAATCGCGAAGTTTTTAATATGAATTCCTAAAAAGAATTTAGGTATGCAGTTTTATAGCCTATTAAATTTAAATTTTTTTTTCATATAAAAAAAATGCTAACAATTTTTCAGCAAAAAAACTTTCAAAAATCAACGCGATTTTTTGGACATTTAAAATTTGCACAATATTATACTAAATTTTAATGGGCTATAAAACTGCATACCTGAATGCTATTTAGAAATTCGTATTAAAGAGTTCGCGATTTTGCTGAAACTTTGCAGATTTTTCTTAATTTTCATACACTGTTTCAATCTTGGATTTAAATAGGGTTAGCTTAAATATAAGCCATATTTTAATACACAATCAACAAAAAGATGTTAGCATGTAAAACATTGGGAATATTGACGAAAATGCGCCGTACGCTTAATTTTGTGAGGAACTGTATGTATGTTAAATAATAAATTCCATTAACTATGTTACATAAAAAAAAATTAATTATTAATTTAAGTTATCCAAATGACCACTATTTTATACCCAAAGCTTGAAAATTTTAAAAAGTATATGCACTCCGAGCAAAGCTCTGTCAAACTGGTACCGTTGTTAATATGCCAATCCTACCAAAAATTCATTTGCTGTGTAAACGTGTGTAGATACGAAAAACCATTACTTATTTGAATACCTCTTATGGGCAACGAAAATCAAAAGCATGTTTTATATCCTCCCAATTGGATAATTATCAAAAAACCCCAAATGCCCATGCAAGTACGGGTGATTTTTTTGAGGTTAGGATTTTCATGCATTAGTATTTGACAGATCACGTGGGATTTCAGACATGGTGTCAAAGAGAAAGATGCTCAGTATGCTTTGACATTTCATCATGAATAGACTTACTAACGAGCAACGCTTGCAAATCATTGAATTTTATTACCAAAATCAGTTGGCAGAAAATCCGCTTTTTTATCGACAAATTTTGTTCAGCGATGAGGCTCATTTCTGGTTGAATGGCTTCGTAAATAAGCAAAATTGCCGCATTTGGAGTGAAGAGCAACCAGAAGCCGTTCAAGAACTGCCCATGCATCCCGAAAAATGCACTGTTTGGTGTGGTTTGTACGCTGGTGGAATCATTGGACCGTATTTTTTCAAAGATGCTGTTGGACGCAACGTTACGGTGAATGGCGATCGCTATCGTTCGATGCTAACAAACTTTTTGTTGCCAAAAATGGAAGAACTGAACTTGGTTGACATGTGGTTTCAACAAGATGGCGCTACATGCCACACAGCTCGCGATTCTATGGCCATTTTGAGGGAAAACTTCGGAGAACAATTCATCTCAAGAAATGGACCGGTAAGTTGGCCACCAAGATCATGCGATTTGACGCCTTTAGACTATTTTTTGTGGGGCTACGTCAAGTCTAAAGTCTACAGAAATAAGCCAGCAACTATTCCAGCTTTGGAAGACAACATTTCCGAAGAAATTCGGGCTATTCCGGCCGAAATGCTCGAAAAAGTTGCCCAAAATTGGACTTTCCGAATGGACCACCTAAGACGCAGCCGCGGTCAACATTTAAATGAAATTATCTTCAAAAAGTAAATGTCATGGACCAATCTAACGTTTCAAATAAAGAACCGATGAGATTTTGCAAATTTTATGCGTTTTTTTTAAAAAAAAAGTTATCAAGCTCTTAAAAAATCACCCGTTATCAGCTTTGTTTACATTTACTACAGCAAAGCAATCACATTAACCCATTTCCGGGCTGAGCTATAAAACAGTCTGACCGTGCGATGTCTGCTACCACCACCACCACTGTGACTTGTTGGCGCGTGGGCGACCCAGTGTTCGTACGCGTATTAGGGAAATATGCACGCGAAATTCCTGGAAATCTGTTGTGCTGCACTGGGACACATTTTGCTGTTGACGTCAAATGACATTTGACAGTATAATCGCGCGCTTTTCACCAACACTTTGCGAGCAGCGACTTTTCCATTCCACTTTGGCATAGCATGAGAAGGTAAAATTTTCTAGCTTGGACTTTGACATTGATTTTCGTTGTTTGTGCGTGTATGAGTGTTTGGAAAATGGTGTGCGTGTGTGCTGTGGGCAACGAAAAATAAAGCCAAGCAGTGTAGGTCCTACACTTAGTGCTGACATCATTAACAAATTTAACCAAACTAAAAACAATATTAAATAAGTGAACTGCTTGTCGTGTCGAACCGTAGTTTCGTGGAAATAAAATCAATTTAAAATGCATTTCGTTGAATTTAATGATTAAATCGTTGCTTGGGCATCAATCAATTTTAATATTTGCGGCAAATTGTGGAGCTTTAACTAAAGACTTTTCGAGCAGGATTTTTAAAACTACCAACATACGTACATTAGGGTGCCTCACCAAAAAAAAAGTTGCCGCTTTTCAAACGGAATTATAAAATTTTTTACATTTTAAGTCGTATGCCAAAATATTTCGGTAAAATATTAAGATTTACGTGAGCTGAACTGATTTTAAAATACCTACAAAAATCGCATTTTTTTGATTCCTTTGACAAAATTTTTAAATACTTTTATGCAAACCTTTTAAGTTTGAACTTTTTTATTATCTGGCGTAATTTTTAATGAAAAATATTTATAGAATTTTCGTTTGAAAAGCTCGATTTTTTGAGCTCACGTAAATTTTAGTTTTTTTCCGAAATATTTTGGCGCAAGCCTTAAAATATAATACAGTTTATAATTTCTATGGAAAAATAGTACCGATTTGCTTTTTTTGTATGGAGAGTGATGCACCCTAATGTGCATTCGTAGTATC